GGTTTGCTGTCTCCCAGGTGTGTAGTGAGTGTTCCAGGGATGCTGTCTGTAGGAAAGTCTCCAAACTGCTATGCATTTGTGCAGAGCCTTCACTGTGCTGTCAGCATGGGTCCCTGGCTCCCACAGGGTGTGTCTGCATCCTGTCCCCTTCGCGGTGAGATGGAGAAGGGAGCTGAGGACTCTCCCAGCCCCCTGTGACTTTGGCAGATAGGGCCCGGAGTTCATCTCACCACCTGGCTCTTTCCCAGGCCTCGGCTGTGCCCTGCGAGGTTTGGGTAAATTTATTCCTCCCTTTCTGGGGTTCACTTCTCTGGTTTGTTCATGGAAGAATTGGGTTAAAGCTCAAACGTTCATTTTTCTTCCCCCCCCCCAACATGGCTAATAATCTATATTTGAACAAAGCTTCACAACAAACAAAAACCAACCAACGAAACAAACAAAAACAGCCCATATGTGAAACATAGAATTCTGCCTACAGCAGAAACAGCTCCCCCAAGACCCTAAGAAACCCTCATCCTGGGGCTCCCCTGGGGCTCCCCTGACAAGTTCTCAGTTGTTCTTGGAATGTCTAGATCCCCACATGAGAGGGCGTGGCCTTCCTTCCTTCTACCCTTGTAGAAGCTCAGCAGCTGAGGTCAGAGATCAGAGGCTTTCCCTCATCCTTCCAGAAAGACCTTTATATGAGGACCATTTGTGCTCATGTCTGTGACAGGGAACTTTGTCTGGAGGTCCTTGCCTTCTTGTCCTGGCCTACCCTCTGATACGCACGAGGGGTTCTTAACTGTCACTGAGTAGAACAAGGTGATTACACGATGACAATGTGGTTGACGAGAAATGGCCTCAGCCCCGTTCTCAGGCAGTTGGAAAGGGGAGAGACGGAGGAAGAGACCTACACTCTGGTCTTCAAAGGCAGAGCAGTGTGGGGCCGGAAGAGGAGGGAGCTTTCAGGAAGTCTTCAGCAGGATGGACAGGACTGCAGTGGGGTGGTACACTGCCCTGCAATCTCTTTGTCCTGACTCCCAGTTCTTATCCAGGTCTCTGTGCATGCAATGCCCAGAATAATACTAAAACCCACAAGAAAGGAACCAGAATAATCTGCCTGCTGGAAGAAAACAGTATATATTTCGTTTTTTCTTTTTGGTTCAAGAAATGGAACAGAGGACTCTCTGCATTCTAAGCCAGCAGCCTACAATCGAACTATGCCCCCAATCTTAGAAGAAGTTGTTGGTTTTTTGAGACAGGGTCTCACTATGTAACCCAGGCTGTCCAGGAACATACTGTCTAGCCCAGGCTAATCTTGAACTCCTGATCCTCCTGCCTAAGCTGTCTTAGAGCTGAGGAAACAGGTGTGTACAGCAGTGCCTAGCCTCAGAGGGGAGTCCCAAGCCCTCTCCCATCCCCTAGGCTCTATCAGGAGTCGACTCAAACCTTGGCACCTACATTTTCTCTCCTTATTGATATTCCCAAGGGTGGGCAGGCTTCTGGGGAGTTTGGGGGCAATGTGGAGGACTCCAGAAAGGAGAAAGTCAGGGCTGCTGAACAGGGTTGTTCCAGGAGCATCTCCACCTCTGTCAGCAGAGAAACCAGGGACAAGAGGCTTTTAGATGAAAAGACAGGACTGAGAGGAGATTGGGTAAAGCCAGGGCCCTGGGACCTTTCCACTTATTGTGACATCATCTTGCCCCAGAGTCACATGCTTAGTAAAAAATTTCACGTGGGCACCTTTAAGGGCACTCAAGCCTGGCACCTGTGGGATTTGGTCCTAATATACCTCCATTATCAGCAAAGGGCAGATTTCAGTATTTTGAACTTTGGACTCTCCTTCCCTCCCCTTCTCCCCATTGGCCTGGCATTATTGCTTCTTTTTTTTTTTTTAAAGATTATATTACATTTTATTTATTTAGTACCTGTGCATGTGTGCGTGTGCTTGTGTGTATATGTGTGTGGGTCTGCCGCAGTGCGTACATGTGGAATTCAGAAGACAACCTTTGGGGGACCGTTCTCCCCTTCCATACTGTGGGTCCTGCAGATTGAACTCGGGTTGTCGGGATTGGTAGCAAGTGCATTCACCCACTGAGCCATCTTGCTGGCCTTCTCTGCTTGCTCCACTCTCCTTAAGCAGGCTTATGCAGTTCTCATGGCCTTCTAGGAGGTGCTGTTCCTGGTCAGCCATCATACAGATAAAGAAATCAGGGCTCCGCTGGAGGCAGGGGAAATCGTGCAGGGTCATGTGGCTGCGGGACCGTGGCCATCTAGCCAGGGATCTGGGGCATGTGTGACAAACAGCATCACATTTTGGCAGTGTCCATTCCAGCCATTTGGCTCCCTCCTCTTCTGCCTCTGTCCTTCCACAGTGTTCTCCTCTCCCTCAAGCCTCTGGCTCCCCCAGGCTCCCCCATATGGCTAACAAGAGGCAGATCAAGATTCTCAAGATAGTGTCACAGACTCAGCTGTAGGACACATGGCTAGATCTCATGAGGTCCTGAGTTCTGTTCCTCAGCTCCAAACAAACAACCCAAACAAGAGAAAACAAAACAAAACCAAGCAAACACATAAATACTCTCCTTGCTCAGCATGGTCCTGGGTTGTATCTATAATTCCAGCATTAGGGGAGAAAAAAAGAGCTAAAATGACTCAATTCAAGGCCAGCCTGGGCTACATAACAAGTCCTTGTCTTAAAAAAATTAAAATTAATTAGGAGAAAGGCTTTGTGTCTTTAAGGCCTTGTGCCAAGAAAGAAAGGGCCAAGAGGCAGAGATGCTTGCCACACAGACCTCAGCCTCTTGTTGGCACGGTGTGGGCAGTGGTAGAATGCCAGCTTGCTCTTAGGTGTGGGGAGGAATGGGAGGGAGGTAGGCGAGGGGGTACCTGACAGCTAGTCTTCACCGAAGGACTGTTCTTCTGTGATCAGATTCAGCTTTCTTTTTCTCTGAGCATGGAAGCAGAAGATGCTGTCTCCCCCATTGGGCTCCCCGCTCTGAACAAAACTGAATGGCTCTCACCCTTCCTCCCAGCTATGCAGGTTCTAGAAACTGTTCCCTGCTGTGATCCCAGCAACAGTGGCTTTCCCTCTTGTAGGCAGAGCCCTTGTCCCCATCCTGAGATCCAGCATGGAAGCAGTAGGGCACTGGGGTCCCCAAGCCTGACTAATCCAGCTACTGTGCAGTGCAGACCCTTCTCCAACACACACGCACGCGTGCACACACACACACAGAGACACACACACGCACATGTGCACACACACAGACATACACACAGACACACACACAGAGACACACACAGAGACACACACGCATGTGTGCACACACACAGACATACACACACTCACACACACTCACACACAGACATACACACAGAGACACACACGCATGTGTGCACACACACAGACATACACACACGCACACACACACACACTCAGACACAGACACACATGCACAGACACACACATAGACACACACGCGCACACTCACACTCAGACACACACAGACATACACACTCACACACACACTCAGACACAGACACACGCACAGGCACACGTGCACACATGCACACTCACACTCAGACACACACACTCAGACACACTCATACACACAGACACGCGCGCACACATGCACACTCACACTCAGACACACACTCAGACACACTCATACACACAGACACGCGTGTGCACACACACACACACACACACACTCAGACACACACACACAGGATTTCTCAGGGTGGGAGCTCTCTCTGTAAGGCCCTGAGAGGGAAGGCTTGGGGCTGGGTATGAGCCTATAGACTGGAAGCCAGAGATGAGGTGAGGGCTAGGGCAGTGTGGGGAGTGTGGGGAGGTCCTGTGCAAGCAGCTCGGTCTTCTGAGGAGTCAGTGCTGCCGTCTTTGGCAAGTTCCTTTCGTTTCCCAGCCTGCTTCTTTTTCTGGAACCCACGGGACTGGGCTAGATACGTGCGGTCTTAGCTGCTGGGGTGAAGGGAAGAGGAGGAAGAGGGAAAAAAGAACAAGCCAGTGTGACACAGACAGAGGTGGTGTTGAGGAGCCTGGTCACTGCTCTGAGCCTCAGGGTCCTCATCTGCGACCTGGCAATTGCTAAGAGCCCGAAAGACGTTCTGAAAGAAGGATGAGAAAGGGATATAATGACTCAGGATGCCGCCTGCAAAGTAGCGAAGGTGCTGGAAGCCTGTGTCTTCCTGACAGTGCAGTGCGATAGGATCAGGACTGGTTTCCTGGAGAGTAGGTTTGGGGATTAGGGGAAGGACCGAGCTGCCAACCGCTGGTGGTTGTGGGAGACCAGAGAGGGACCCTCTGGAGTCCCGCGGGTGGCCAGGACTCGCTGTCACCCACCCTCCTGCCGCATAGAGAAGGGAGGGAGGGAACAGGAGAGGCCGCACCTCTGTGCTGTCCCGAGGCTGGGTTCATACATCACACCATCCGAGAAGCTCACGTTTTTCTCAGCTTTTCTCACACAGAATCACTTCCTTTGTTTAGAGGAGGGGGTGGGGGAGGAGACGGAGGGCGACGAGGGAGGGGCCCGCGGGTGCCGCCGCCGCCGCCGCCCCCGCCCCCTCCCCCTCCCGGTGTGCGGAGCCCGATTGTCACTCAGCTCCCGCTCCGGGGGCGACGAGGGCGCTGGCGCCAGAGTGGAGTCGAGGTTGGCTACCATCCCCCTGGACTTAGCAGGCTAGCCCTGGGTTCGCTTGGCATCTTCTGGGGGAGCAACTGCCCAAGGCTTTGAGATTTGGGGACACTTGGCCGGACAGTTCAGGTGGCCAGGAGCTCTGACAGCTTTGGTGTGACCTTGGGTAAGTCTGTGTTTCAGTTCGTGCACCATGAACGCGCAGGAGCGGTGTGGATGAAATGACTGGAATGCCCCCCCTTGGGGCAGCCGATGGGCAAGGATTCTGAGCTGGAGCGGGACAGAGCTACTGTTAAGAGTCGGGCAGTGCGTCCCGGGTGGGTGGGCACAGGGCAGGCGTGCGCGCACTTGGGGAATAGGAGCCTGTGGACCAGCCAGGTCCTGGGCTTAGTCCCTAAGATTCACGCCTGCCATCCCAGTCCCAGGTACGAAACAGGGTCACTACCTCTTTAAAAGCGTCCGGGGCTGAGCCTCTGCCGCACCATGTGATTGCTTGAAAGGCCGGGCTGGGAGCGCAGCGGCGGGAGCCTGGAGAACGATGAGCCGGTGCGCGGTGCACGGAGCCCAGAGCCCAGCCCTGCCCGGCGTGGCTCCGGAAAGCCGCCCCGGGAACTTAGGGCAACGCCTTTGGGACCCCCTACTGGTTGGCGGGCAGGATGGTGAGCTCCCTGCCTCCGGGTCGGCGGACACCTGTGGGCGCTGCGGATGCGTAGGGGATCGCTGTGGAGTGAGTGCGCTGGGAGCCACCTCACACCTGATACAAAAGCCAGTGGTGGAGTGAGTGTTGCTATTTTAAGTTGCTGAATGGAACCTCTGAGGACAAGGGGAGGGGACAGAGGTTAAGCAGATAGTGAGGCTGAGTGCCTGGCCAGCCTGGGCAGGCACTGCATCTGCTAACTGGGGCACACATCTTCGCAGGGCTGCCTATGTCCCCTCCTTCCCAGGCTGGCATCCCCACCGCAGGCTTCCTGACCACAGGTGCAGGCCTCGTGCCCCAGGGCACCTGCCTGCTGATGTGCCCAGCTCCTGCCCACCATGCCGCCCTACATCTCGGCCTTCCAGGCTGCCTACATTGGCATCGAGGTGCTCATTGCCTTGGTCTCTGTGCCGGGAAACGTGCTGGTGATTTGGGCTGTGAAGGTGAACCAGGCACTTCGCGATGCCACCTTCTATTTCATCGTATCCCTGGCCGTAGCTGATGTGGCCGTTGGCGCCCTGGTCATCCCGCTGGCCATCCTTATCAACATTGGGCCACAGACCTACTTCCACACCTGCCTCATGGTGGCCTGCCCTGTCCTCATCCTCACCCAGAGCTCCATCCTGGCTCTGCTGGCGATTGCTGTGGATCGGTACCTCCGAGTCAAGATCCCTCTCCGGTGAGTTCATAGCAGCCCAAGGTACCCTGTGAAACCCTATGCCGGGTGGCCTGGGGATGAGCTGGAGAAGATAAAAGTGCATCTAAGCCCAGCAGTCAGCCAGGTATTTATCCTCTGGCTGTTGGATCCCAGCCCACACTTTGCCTTCCAGGGCTCTGTGTAGGGATCCTGAGCTGAGCTGCAGTAAGACAAGCGGGAGGGGGCTGGGTGGCCAGAGAATTACCATCCAGACAGTACCAAGACCTCAGTGCTATAGCCTCTGCAGTCAGGAGCCGGAGGCAGCAGGTGGGCCTGGACTAGGACTAGGGCATTCGGAGGAGTCATTAAGACAGGGGACAGTCCGGGTGGGGATGATCTGGATTCGGTAAGCCCTGGGGAGGAGGAGAGCAGAGCTCTAGGGGGAGGTTGGGGACGTGTTAAGGGTGGCACACCAGGGATAACGGCCGCTGCTGCTTTTTGGATCAGAAGAGGCTGGCTTCCGGAAGACTCTATAGCTCACTTGTTCTGTAGCTGCCTCTGTAGTGGCCGGCTCCACCCTCCAAGGTGCCCTGCTGAGCCCAGAGGGCCAGTTGCCTCTGCCCAGCTCCCACTGAGGGGATCTCTTTTGTAGGCAGGGAGAATGCCCAAGTGGCTTCCCTTCCTGTTCCCTTCCTGCAGGAGGTGATATTTCTAGGCAGCTCAGGGTGAGAGTATTAATGGTGGCAGGCCCTTATCATGGGGGGGGGGGGGCAGGGTCCATCTACCTTGAGGCTCCCTGCCCAGGCCTACCAGGCCATAATCTTGGCACCAGGCAGTGCCTGGGTCACCAAGTGCCAGCAAGTGCCTGGGCACAGTGCCAGCAACGGGCTCTGCTGGGACACTCTATTGAGTGTGCTTCTCTCCTGTCACCAGTCTGTTCTCTGATGGCGGGCCTTAGCCATACTCCAGCACCAGCCGTCCTGTGCAGCTTCCTAGCTCCCATATCTGGGACATGGGGGCCTCTGGTCTCACTTGGCAGTTCGCCCGTGCTGGCCTAGGTACCCAGCGTTCTGTCTTTGGTCACATTCATGCACGTTTAACTTTTCCAGTCTGTCACACGTGTCCAGAGAGGGAGGTTGAGCCGGAACTGGAAGAGGGGAAGGCAGGTTCAGAGGATCTCCCCAGCCAGGGGCAGAGAGCTGCATCCAGCCACACCCTCCCTCTGATTCCCCTGCCCAGAATCTCTCGCCGTCCCCCCCCCCCCCGCCTCCCACCTCCCTACCTCAAAGCCACCAAAGTTTCCCAGGAAAGGTGGGGTGCAGGCTGCTGATTCTCAGGGAAGAAGGAAACAGTTCAGAAGCCACACAGGCTCAGCTTCCGAGGGCCTTTCACGCTGCCATTAAACCCGGATTGTTGCTGGCCTGCACCAGTCAAGCTAGTCCATTAAGTGGGCTGGGCCTGGGAGCCCTACCATTACAACAGCAGCGTGGCCGCATTAGGGATGCACAGCGATGGGCAGACAGAGAGAAAGTCTCCCTGCTGAGTGGTGCCAATGCCTTGGCCCTGTCCTCATGCCACAGAGGTCACGGACTTCGGAATGTGGGTAGGCCTGGTGGATGGAGGTGGTCACGCTGCTTGGACTTGCAGCCTCATTCCCCCAGAGGCGGCTGCTGTTGCTTTGAGGCTGGGGTGGTTTGAGAACAGTCTTCTGAGTATTGAGGGTGGGCATGAGTGGAGTGTAATACAGGCCTGGGCCGGGATGCTTTGACAAACGCCTAGCTGTGCCACCTTCGGAGAGCCACCTACTTCCCCTCTTGGAACTTTAATTTCTTCATCTATAAAGGAGAATGGAAATAATAGTATGACGGCCCGGGGTTCCCGGAAAAGTATATAGCAATTAGTATTATGCCTGCCGTATTGTATGCAGGCTGTCAATGAGAAGTTTAGCTTCATTGTTACTATATGGCTTGAACTGAGGCTGGACAGGCAAGCTGTTTCCCCAACCCAAATATGTGTGCTCCGAAATGGACACATGCACAACGCATCCCAAGAAGGTGTCAGAGAACTGTTAAGTTATATCTGTACATGTTTTCCTCCCCCAGTGGGCTGCCAGTGCCTCAAAGGCAATGGCCGGGCAGTGATCACATCTTGTCTGTTTCTGTGAGTTACCTAGAATGTCTAGAGACAACGTGTAGTCCTTGGCACTCTGTAAATGTACACTAAAACGGCCAGATTTCCAGATCACGTGGGTGAGTCTCAAGCAGGCTTTTTAGGAGCCTAGCCTCTACCTTTCTTGGTGGGCTCTGCCCACGGCTGTCCCCACTTGCTCGGACCGTTGCTGGGAGTGCTCTACCCCGTGGGGAAGAACCTTCTCTAAGCTAAGGGCTAGCTTCTAAACAAGGCTCCTGGCCAAGGTGTCGATTCCTCTGGGTCCAGACCTGTCACTGCCCAGGTACCCAGCAGGAGGTACAGATGCCCTGACTCCTTCTGGGCAGCTGGGGTCAATGGGATGCCAGGCTTTTGAACCCACAGGCACCTGGCTCCCTGCCCTGATACGCTAGGCAAAGGTTGATGTGGCCCTGGGCCCTGAGAATGATGTCACTAAGTGTTGGGGAGGTGTGTCTAGATGTCTGGATATAGGAGTCAGTCATGCCTTCATAGAGCAAGGATTGGGTTGGTCCGTAAACCACAGGTTTTTTTTTTCTTTCCACACAGCAGAAAGTTGAGAGAGAAAAAGAGATTCATCTCATCTAATGGGACCCATGTATGTCTTTTGAAGTTGAAATGAGTTAATTGTGGATAATTAGCGGTCTTTTTTACATGCTACCCGCCATCCTCCCATGCTTGTGGTTGAGAAGCCAGTCCCCTTACTCCTAGTTCCCGAGACTCATCGGTTTCACCCGCCCCCCTCCTCACCCAGGGCTGTCCACCCCAGTAAGTTGATGTCTGCTCCGGGTTGCTCCCTGCTTCTGTGAGAAGGCTGTCCTCAGCTAGATGGGTTGCAGTGAAGTGAACAGTGGCAGGCGTTTGGGGGTTAGGCCTGAGTTAGAGCCTTGCCGTACTACCAGATAACTAACTGTGCAGCCTTGGAAGCAAGTCAACCTTCCCAAACTTTTCTCTCCGTCGTAAACATGGCTGCGTCCAAGGTCACTGAGGTTCCCTTTGGCTCTAACTCTCTATGGTTTTTCCTCCTCCTGGCTCCTGCCAATGCTGTCCTGGGATCCTGGGCAGGTTTTGTGTTGGTTTTTTTCCACTCCTAGTGATTGGTCATGTGGTAGTTACGTTTTGTTTTGTGTATATTTTGTCCCACTGACCGGTGCACGGCCTCTCAGTAGTGGAGGCCACTGCCAGCTTCATTCTAGAATTCTTCCGACAAACTGGGGTCAGATGCTTGAAAGGTTCAATAAGTCTCCTAGACAAGCAGCTCACTGGTCAGGAGCGGAACCCAGGCCTACTACCAGACACTTTTAACCTGTAAGCCCAGCACTCATGCATGGACTTAAGGGGTGGCCTTGTAGGATGTACCCTGGTTTCCCCAAAGCTGTCACCAGGTCCCTCCCCCTTACTTTCACCAGTGTTTGTGCACCCTTCCAAGCTCACACGCAACACCTCTCCTCCACACGAGTGCACAGGACAGTTGAGTCCCTTGGATGCCCTCCCTACCTGCTGTCCGTGGCTGGAGGCTAGGTATGCTGGATTGAGCTTGGGGAGGAAGAGAAATCTGCTAGATTAAGACGTGTTTGCATTTGGTCGCTGGCTCGGCAGCCCCTGATCTGCTCAGGGATTTGTTTACGTATTTATTTGACAACTAAAATGGCTCATGCACTACCAATACTCCAGCAGCCATCTGTGACCTCTGCGTCCTGCTACAGCTGCCTCGGGTCTTCATCTGATTCCAGAAGAAGCAGGGTGTCTCCAGATGTGCCGTCTAGGGCATTAGTCATAGACTAGACATTGACTAGAGTGCAGGAGAGGCCAAGAAGCGGCCCGAGGAAGCCGTGGAGAGGAAACCCAGGGCCAGGGGAGTGGGCCTGTTCATGGTCACTGGGCTGGGGACTCAGTGCTCTTCCCAAACCAGACTCTTCTCAGCCTGGTAAAGAAAAATGCAGCCTCAGTGGATGGGTGAGCCCTAAGCTGCGGGGTGTGATGGAGGCAGCTCTGTGTTTGTGTGGGGCAGTCTGCACGGGCTCATGCTAGATGTAGCCGAACCAAGACACATGGCTTTCCTTGCAGAGGTGTTGGGGTGTCTTTCACCCCAATGTGTGTGTGTGTATGTGTGAACTTGTTCAGGTGTCAGCTTCCATGAAGCAGGGGATGGCCAAGATGGTTTTTAGAGAAGCCCTTCCACCCCGGGGGCCCTGAGTGGGGACTTAGGGACTGTGAGGATCGTAGAGAAGAATAAAGACGCCGAATCCAGCAGTCCTTTCTCCACCTACAGAGAACGACTGTTAACATTTGGTGTTCCAGAAAATTCTCCACACACATGCATATATATTTAGCTACATTATTTTTGCATATGGCAAGTATCTATCTATATATGGTTTTAAATCCTATTTTCTCACTTAACATTACATTGCAAACATTTCCACATGTCAACTAAAATTATTTTGTGAGGGCTTTTATGACAGTATAAGGTTGTATTATTATTCATCTTTTAGGTTTCGGCTAAAACAGCCTAAGCTCAGGGAATCCACCTCCGGCTCCTCCTGCTCCTGCCATCCAGACTCGTGTTGTCTGTTAGGTTCTCAGCCTGGATGTGTGCCTCGATCTATATTACTTCAGACTCAGGTAGTCTTCTATTTAAAACTTCTCTCTGGGGTCTGGGTATGCCCCAGAGTTCCCCCACACTCTGTTTACATACTAGGGATCTTCCATGTCTGGCATGGAGTAGGTATGCTGTAACTTTAAATTAACATTTGGGTAGCACATTTTATTTATCTATTTTTTAGTAGGTGGTTACTTAGAGTACTACATTATTATTATTATTATTATTTAAGGAAAAAAACCACTTCAGGGGCTGGGGAGATGATTCAGCTGGTAAG